GAGACCCCCCCCAGAAACCCAGTCAGAGATCCCCAGAAATCCAGAGACCCCCCCCTAGAAACCCAGAGATCCCCAGGAATCCAGAGACACCCCTATAAACCCAGTCAGAGATCCCCCAGGAATCCAGAGACCCCCCCTAGAAACCCAGTTAGAGATCCCCAGAAATCCGGAGACCCCCCCTAGAAACCCAGTTAGAGATCCCCAGAAATCCAGAGATCTCCCTAGAAACCCAGTCAGAGATCCCTAGGAATCCAGAGACCCCCCTAGAAACCCAGAGATCCCCCAGGAATCCAGAGACCCCCCCTAGAAACCCAGAGATCCCCCAGGAATCCAGAGACCCCCCCCTAGAAACCCAGAGATCCCCAGGAATCCACAGACCCCCCTAGAAACCCAGGCAGAGATCCCCAGGAATCCAGAGACTCCCCTAGAAACCCAGTCAGAGATCCCCAGGAATCCAGAGACTCCCCTAGAAACCCAGTCAGAGACAGCCCTCACCCCCAGAAACCCAGCTGGAGGCTCCCCGCAGAATCCCTGCCTAGGTCCTCCTGCTCAAGTCTCCCCGTCAGAGACCCCCAAGATCACCCAGCACCCCCCTGCTCCCCCACCAGGAGTCTGTCCCCGAACCCTGTCAGAAGCCCCCAGTGCAGGTCGGCAGCCTCGCAGGGACCCTTCCCCACTGAGGCCCCACGGCCATCACCCCACTTATGCACTTTCCGGGCTCGTCCAAACCGTGGAAGGGTCTCTCTTCAAAGACCCCTTTTTCTAGGACGTTCTAAAAGCCACCAAGAAGTGTGCCCTCCATGGCCGTGGACCCCGTCTGGCGCCAGGGAGAGCAGGGAGTGGGGAGTGCTTGGTGAGGAAAGGGGCTGAGCCGGTGGGGGGAGGACACACAGGTCCCAAGTGACCCTCTGTGACTATTTGCCCCCGTGTGCCCAGTTCAGCTTCGAGGGGCACCGCTGTCCAGTGTGATTATTAATAGCACCCCTGTCACTCTTGAAAGTGTCCTGGAGGTGGGACAGCAAGTCGTGTGGTCAAGCTGGTTATCACGGAGGCAGGACAGGGCGTTGTCAGGGCACAGAGGAGGGGACCCCTAACTGCTCCAGGGACTCGGGGAAGGCTCCCAGGGGAGCTGTCACCAGGGCGGGGGCCACGGGTGAGGATGGTGCGTGCGTGGCCTGGTCCTGGGCGGACCGTGGGAAGATGCTAAGCTCCCATGGCCGTGATGGGGGTGAGCAACCTGGAGATCGGCCAATGGAGGGAAAAGTGAGAAAAAGAGGCAAGGAGTTGCAGGGACCACTGTGTGCCACGCCAGCCTGAGGGGCTGGGACTTAGTCCTGAGGGCACTCGGGAGCCATGGGAGGGCTGGGAGCAGGGAAGGAGCGGGATCAAACTCCAGTGAAAGGCCAGCAGCTCCAAATACAGGCTGACCTGGCAAGAATGTCAGTAGCCCAGGGTGGTGGGGGAGCCCAGGGACAGCACCTTGTTCAGAAACATTGTTCCAGCAGAGGGGACATGTGAGCCGAGACAGGAAGGGCTGGTGAGGAGGGTGTCCGAGGCAGAGACCCAGAGGGGGGAACAGCCTTTGGGGAACAGCATGCAGTTGAGTCGCTGGAGCAGCAAGTGTGATTTGGAGTGGAGAGACAGGTGGGGCCAGGCCGTGCAGGGCCTTCAATGCCAGGTCCAGGGTCTAGGCTCTGTCCCCTGGGTGCTGGGGAGCCGTAGAAGAACACTGAGCAAAGGAGGGACAGGTCAGCTCTGGGGCCCTGTGGGGATGGACTGGAGGGGGAGGCTGGTACAGGGGCCCTGGGGGAGGGATGGCGGCCTGACCCAGAGCTGTAGAGAGGGAGAGGAGGGGACAGGGTAGAGTCACTAGGTGGGAGCAGGGCTGAGGGCTTAACAAGCTGTGGGGAGGAGGGGAGGCAAGTGACCCCCGCCCAATAGCCCCCCTTTGATCTCCGCCGCCCGCTCCTCAGGCCCCCATTTTCCCAGCCCACACCTCCAATCCATAAAACAGGTCTGAGCAGGCGCTGCTCTGGTCGAGGCAGGGTGGGCAAACAGGTTCTGAGAACCCAGAGTGGCCCGGGGCACAGGAAGGGCAGCACGGGTCCCCATCCTCGGGTGGCTGGTCTGAGGAGGCCGTTCTCTGTTTGTCCTTGCAGGAGCTCTCGGGGCCGCCGGTGCTTTGTCGGTCTGTCCCAGTGATGGAGGGAGGCTCTTAGCTTCGCCAGCGGCTGCAGAGCAGAGGCAGTGGCCCATGGACCTGCCAGAGAGCCGGGCGGGCAGCCCCGCCGCTGCAGAAAGTAGGTGGCTGGGCCCCTGTCTGTCCCATGGGAGGATAAGGAGGAAGTAGTGGGTGAAGGGGGCACCAGGCTGTGACGCGGGGACTTTGGAGAGGTGGCTTGGGCTGGCTGAGCCTCCACCTTGGTGCAGGGTGGGAGACAGAGAGCTATCGTTGATTAAGTGCCTGCTGTGTGCCCTCCGGTCTGGACACCTTGTCGCATTTGCTCTAGGGAGGCCAGAGCAGCAGCCTTTGCAGGAGCTGTTCCCCTGCCCCGGGGACCTGCGGGCTTCCCCCTCACTTCCTTCAGATCTCTGCTTTCTGTAAAGCAGCTGCCTGTCACGCTGTCTCCCCTTTCCTGCTTCACTTCTCTTCATAGCACCGACATCTGTTTGTCTGTCCATCTAGTCTGTCTCCCCCACTGGAGCATGAGGTCTACAAGGCAGGGTCATTTTAGTCACTCTGGTATCCCCGTCCCTAGAGCAGCGTGTCCAACAGGCGAGCCGTGTATGTCATTTTACATTTTGTTAGGAGCCACATTTAAAAGAAACAGGCAAAATGAGTGGCAATAATAGATTTTATTTAACTTAATATGTCCCAAATCGGGCCGGCCCCGTGGCTTAGCGGTTAAGTGCGCGCGCTCCGCTACTGGAGGCCCGGGTTCGGATCCCGGGCGCACACTGACGCACCGCTTCTCTGGCCGTGCTGAGGCCGCGTCCCACATACAGCAGCTAGGAGGATGTGCAACTATGACATACAACTATCTACTGGGGCTTTGGGGGAAAAAAAAGAACGGAGGATTGGCAATGGATGTTAGCTCAGAGCCGGTCTTCCTCAGCAAAAAGAGGCGGATTGGCGTGGATGTTAGCTCAGGGCTGATCTTCCTCACAAAAATAATAATAATAATAATTAATTAATTAATATGTCCCAAATCATCTCCTTTCTGCTTATCATCAGTATAAAAATATGTTGGAGAGATTCTCTTTTTTTTCATAGTAAGTCTTCATGATCTGGTGCGTACTTTACACGAACAGAGCATCTCAGTTCACACTCACCACAGATCAAGTGCTCAAGAAGCACCTGTGGCGAGGAGCTGCCCTCCCTGTTGGTTACGCTGCCCCAGAACGATGCCTGACATGGAATAGGAGCTCAGTTACTGTCCTTGAGTGATTGGAAGGACGCAGACCCTCTAGGTATGACAGCCGGCTTCGCGAGGAAGATGCTGGGTGGCGCTCTCTGAAACTCATCTACGTGGGAGAGCCCCATGTGATGGGGGAGGAGGCTCCCACCCCAGGGCAGCAGCAGGGTCCCTTTCTTAGAGGCTCCCAGCATCCAGCAGCAGAGCCTGTGTCTTTTCTCAAGGCCTCAGGAGGCTTTCCAGGTGGGAAGGCGGAACGTAGACACCTCGGTGAAGGAACCTGAGGGCAGGCTGATGGAGTAACCGACATGTAAACTTTGCCGGCACCAGCAGAGGGCGTGCGGCTACTGAGGAACCCGTGGGAAAGGGCTGAGCCAGCTTCGGGAGGCTCCTGAAGGAAAGAGAGGGACACACCCAGGAGAGATGGAGACAGAGGAAGGCAGGGGGGGAGAGAGCCAGAAAGGCAGCAGAGGAAAGAGAGAGAAGGTTCAGGGAATGGAGAGTCACTGAGATATGGGAAGAGAAGCACAGAGACGGAAACACAGGGAAGAAAATGGGGCAAAGGACAGGGAGACCAAGAGGCGGGGCTTAGGGGAGAGAGAGATGGGAAGGAAGAGGGAGAGAAAGAGCCAGAGAGAAAAGTAGAAAAGGGCAGGGACAGAGACACACAGAGTGAGGTAGAGACACTGAGGAAGGAAGTACAGGAAAGAGCACAGGAGAGAAGCAGAGTGACATCCTCCTGAGGACCCTGGGAAGGGACTGTAGACACGTGCGGATCCTCAGGGCCCCTGAGATGTGGAGCCAGACAGTCCTGGGTTGACTCCTCCTGGCTCTCCTTGGCTGAGCGGCTCTGGGCGAGTGACCTTGTTGGGCCTGTGACCTCACTGGGCCTCAGCGTCCTCCTCCATAACATGGGGAGCACGGTGAGAGGAGGAAACGAGAGTGCCCGTAAAGCTCCGGGCATGGGCCCTGGCGTCTCCCCTGATGTGGGTTCCTGCTCCCCTTCCCTAGGAACGTGGACTCAAACCCAAGAGGGCTGAATGTTAGCTCACTATGAAGAACCCTTGAAGAGTTAGAGGGCTGAGAAAGGGCACTCGTGTGGAACAGGTGACCCTGGGCAAGTTCCTAACTTCTCTGTGCCTGGGTATCCTCATCTGTAAAGTGGGGCGAATAATAGCAGCCACCATGGTCCGTGCAAAACACTTAGAAGAGGCATGGCACCTATTAAATGCCGAATACGTGTTCCATTCTATTACTGAGCTTCCACCACGTACCGGTCTCTCTGCCCAGGCCTTTCCAGATTGTCTCTCATTTCTTCTCTTGGAAGGAGGTGAGACCAACCCCATTTTCCGGAGGAAGAAACAGGCTCGGAGAGGCTGAGTCCCTTGCCTGGGTTGCTTCCTGGGTCTGCTAGACTCTGCAGCCCATGCTCAGCCCGCTGCTATACCCAGCTGTCCAAAGGCAGGGCGGGGAGTCTCGAGGGTCACTTCCAACCCTGGGGAAGAGGCTGGGCTGTCTCAGTGGCTCCTAGAGTAGAGGATCTCCTCCTATATCTTGGCGCATTTATTGAGTGCCTACTATATGCAGGCGCTGTGGACACAGCAGTGGACAGAGCCGGGACATTCACATTGTGTGTATGTGTGGGCTCTTCACATGCATAGACCTAACCCTCCCAGCCTTGGGGAGGAGGATCACTCTACCTGCCCATTTTACCTGTGGGGAAGCTGAGGCTCCAAAAGGAGAAGCAGTTTGCCCACAGTCATGCAGCTGGGCTCTGAGCCCATGTCAGCCTGACTGTGACGCTCCAGCTCCTAACCACTCCCCCACCGCCCACCCTGCCTAGATCACCCCATCTCCCCGGCTGTGGGCTCTGACAACGCCAGCCTCCCCTCGAGGATCCAGGGAGGCGAGAGACCTGGCCTCCCAGGGGATGGGAGACGGGAGATGCGGCCGGCGCATCGATCCAGGCTGCCCTTGAGTTATTGGATTGTTCCTGCTCCTGGGCCCTCCCTTCACTCTCTGCTCCTCCCAGAATCCTCTCTTCTTTGCCCTCCCCCGCCTCCAGCCCCCTCTGAGCCGAGCCTGGGAGGCAAGGGAAGAGAGGAGGAAAGAGTGATCTCAGGAGCATTCGTTCATTAGTTACCTGGGCTCTTGAGCAGATTAGACACAAAAGATTAGACAGCAGGGGGCACTTCCTGGCCTGAAAGATGGGCCCCACATCCCCGTGTGTGTGCATAGGGGCTGTGACTCGAAGACCCTCTCATTGCTGCCCCCACCCAAAGCTTCCTGCTCTTCCCCACCAGCCCCAACTCCAGGCAGCTCGGAATAAATTCCCTCCCCTGTTCAGGAGCCCAGGACCTGGGCTCACTCCTCTTCTCTCCTTGTCCCCCTCCTCACCAGTGGGCTGGCCCTCTTGTCTCCTCAGTATACCTCTGGGACCAGCCAGAGGAGGGGACCCTGGGGATGCCGCTCAGCTTAGAGGAGCAAATACTCAACTCCACGTTTGAAGCTTGTGACCCCCAGAAGACAGGTGGGAGGGGCAGGATGGGGGCGGGCACCGCTGGGTGTGGGAGAGATGGGGAGTAATACTGGACGGAGATGGGGGGCAGCAACTGGGGAGCCATAGAGGGAGGGATGGGCTAGGGCCCCTTCTTGGGGGTCCTGCAGGACAAAGTGGGTGATTGTGGGAAGCTTCAGGAAGGAAGTGGATAAAGGGATAGAGGCCTTTCAGGCCGAGGACAGTGAGGGGAGGAAAACTTGGGGGACATTAACGGAAGAGGGTGGGGCTTTGGGGCCTGGGAGAAGGCAGGAGGGCAGCCACTGTGGTCCTCTTTGGTCCACCCTGTGAGTGAGGATGACTGGGCCCCATTTCCAGGTGCAAAGTTGACTCAAAGGAGGGGAAAAGACTTGTTCAAGGTGTCTTGGCCTCCAGCCCAGTCAGTGACATCCTACTTCCAAGCCATCGCCTGTCCCCAAGCCCTACCCCCACCTGCCCCAGACTCCCTCATGGCATGCTCTGTCCCCAGGCATTGTGGCTGTGACCCACGTACTAGCCTACCTGGAGGCTGTGACAGGACAGAGCCCCCAGGATGCACGCCTCCAAACACTGGCCTGCAGCCTGGACCCCAACGGAGAGGGGCCTCAGGCCACCGTGGATTTGGACACCTTCCTGGTCGTCATGCGGGACTGGATCACTGCCTGTCAGCTGGATGGGTGGGTCCTTGTACCTCCATCCTCCCATGGGAAGTCCTTCCTAAGATCTAACCTTATGTCTCCTCACTGCAGCCAGCGCCCTTTGGGCACAGGGACCTAGTGTGGTTGGAAGGAGACTGAGGAGGAGAGAAAAGTAAAGAGGTGGGGTTGGGGGAGAGGGGGAGGGTCTGAGGACAAAGTGCCTGCGATGGGAAGGCAGAGAGGGTCTAGGAGGCAGAAATAAAAGGGGCTGGAAGGAGGAGAAGGGGGATGTTGGGGGCCTGACAGCGGCCCTCCCCATCCCTTCTCCAAACCCAGTCCTTGCCTCTCCTGCTTTTCCATCTGGCCCCAGGCGCTTGCCATCTGGCCTCACCTTCCTCCCCACGGTGCTCACTTTCACCTGACCTGGCCCCTCCCCCCACCACCTGCAGTCCTCCTGCTGCTGGTGGCTGGTCAGGATTGGGGGGTGGCTGCAGGAGCTCTAAGCCTCATCCCTTTGATACAGGGGATTAGAGCTGGAAGAGGAGACCGCCTTCGAGGGGGCCCTGACCTCCCAGCAACTGCCATCTGGTGAGATTGCTATATATAGAATGAAGCAGGCAGGCCCAGGGTCAGACGGTGGGGGGACTTCCCACCCGGGGACAGAGCAGTGGATAGGGTGGGACCCGGAGACCTTTGCTCTAACCTGGAGCTGAGTTTGGCTTTCTAGGTGCCTCCATGACTGCCTCCCCACCTTCCCTGAGCTTTGGGGAGATTTTTTGCTGCAGGGTTGTTTCCAACTCCTCTCAACACCAGCCCTATTATAGAGACCCACAGGCCGCTCCCACCTCTCATGGTCATCATTCTGGTCATGGAGCCGGCCCCTCCCCACTGTGGCCTTGCTCTTCCTCGAATGTGCCGCGTGCCTGCCTGCCTGCCTGCCTACGCGCCTGGGCCTTGGCACAAGCTGCCTTCCCAGCCTCAACTTTCCAGCCTTCCCTCATCCTTCACACCTCAGGGATGCCCCAGGCTAGGGTCACTTACTCTCCAGCTCACTCATGCACAAACTTTCATTTCCTTCCTGTGGAAATCTGATTATCTGATTAGTTACCTGCCCTGCTGTTTGGTTGGTTGGTTTGCTCACCATTGTATCCCTAGGACCTCACACGTAGGAGGTGCTCCATAAGAAAGTATTCATGTTATATTTCTCCAGCCTTACAAAAGCAAAAGAAAAGCAAAAACATACAGCTTTCTTGACGTTCTGTTGAACCTCCTCCAACCAGGCTTGGGGCCCAGGGGAAAGCTGTGAGCAGGGGAGGGGCAGGCCACCTCCAGATGAGGAAAGACCCCTTTGGGGCTGAGTAGGGGCAGGACAGGAGGGAGAGGCTGGAGGCCAGGAGGCTATGGTGAGGGTCCAGGGGGAGACAGGCTGGAGGCCAGGAGGCTATGGTGAGGGTCCAGGGGGAGACGGTGAGGCCTGGGCCAGGACGGGGTGTGGGGATGGAGAGGAGAGCGGAGCAGAGAAAGTCAGGGAGGAGGGGGACAGGGCCTGGGCTCTGGTAGACTAGGGGTGAGGAAGAGCGTGGGAGCCAGGACAGCCTAGTGGTTTGGTGGGGAGGGGCACTGTGAGGAGAAACAGCTTCTGGGGCAATTGAGGTGCTGCCCAGAGTCAGGTGTGATGAATGTGAGCAGTTGGGGGCTGTGGGGAGATCCAGCCTGAGCTCAAGGTACAGATGAGCAAGAGGCCTGGTGGGTGTCATTGCAGCCCCGGGGGCAGATGAGATCCCCAGAGCAAATGTGAGGGTGGAGGCCAGAGGAGGACCAAGCCCGGAGTCCGGGGGCACCCTCACATCTAAGGCCACCGGGGATCCCACCACCCTCTGTCTGTCTCCCTCCAGGATGCCCAGAAGCAGAGGAACCAGCCAACCTGGAGAGCTTCGGAGGCGAAGACCCCAGACCTGAGCTGTACCTATCCTCAGGCCCCTCCCTGCCCTCCTCCTGCCCCGTGCCCTCCAGCCTGCCTGGGGCATGGCACAGGGTTTGGGGTCCTTTGGGGAGTGGGTGAGGGACAGGGGCTGTGCTAATAGCTCAGGGAGAGTAGGGCAGTCTCTCTCCTGTTCCTCCTCCTCTAGAAGAGCCATATCTCCCCACCACCACCACCTGGCCAACCTGGGAAGCTAGAAGGGGCTGTGGGCGGTGACCCCCGCCCTTCCCTGCCCCCAGGCCCGCCACAGCTGACCTGCTAAGCAGCCTGGAGGACCTGGAGCTCAGCAACCGCCGGCTGGCGGGGGAGAACGCCAAACTGCAGCGCAGTGTGGAGACGGCCGAGGAGGGGTCTGCACGCCTCGGGGAGGAGATCGTGGCCCTGCGCAAGCAGCTTCGCAGGTGGGCCGGGCCCCAGGTCCACCCTCCTGGTGCCCCTGTGTCCCTCCTGCCCTCAGCCCCAGGCTCGCTCTCTCTGCACCACCTGCTCCGTGTCTTTGACCCTGCGCTTGTCCCCTTCTTCTTTTCCTCTGTCTGTCTTCTCTTTCTCTCTTGTGTCTCCCTGTTCTTGTCTCTCAGCTTCTAGGGTTCAGACCTCTCTCTCCTTCTCTGATTCTCCATATCAGCGGCCTGTTCCTTTCCCTGTGCTCTGTCTTCCTCGTGTCTGTCGTGTTCCCCCTAGTTTAGTCTCCCACTGTCTCTAGATCTCTGTCCCACCTCCTTAGTCTTTTAGGTAGAACTGGGTCTCTGCCCCCAACACTCAGTGTTTTTCCCCCTTTTCTCTCTGCATCTCCATCCCCCTCTCTCTGGGTCTCTGTCTGGGATTTCTCTGTTGTTTCTGTCTCTCCGAGTGATCTATCTCTGTGGTCTCTGCCCTCCTTTCCCTTGTGTGGCCCACCTGCCCCCGTCCGCACTCAGTACCCAGCAGGCTCTGCAGTTTGCCAAGGCTGTGGATGAGGAGCTGGAGGACCTGAAGACTCTGGCCAAGAGCCTGGAGGAACAGAATCACAGCCTCCTGGCCCAGGCCCGGCAGACGGTGGGTTCTGGACAAGGGGCACAAAGGCGCCTCTTTCTTTCCCCTTTCTTGGAGTCTGAGCATCAGAGCCTGACTATGGAGTGGGGAGGGGCAGAGGTCACCCCAGCTTCCTCCCTCACTCCAAGTCCTGCTCGCCCCAGACTTGGGGGCCAGGTCTACTTGCCATCCCTCTGGTGACAGAGGGGACAGCAGGAGCCATCAGGCCTCCCCAGGCCCATTCCCCCAGCCCTGGTCCTCAATGACCCAGGTCTGAGTTGTGTTCCCAGGGGTGGGAGAAGGGCAGTATTAGGGCAAGGAGACGGGAAAAGAAGCCTTTGTCCTCTCTCTGGGGTTACTCAGGAAAAGGAGCAGCAGCATCTGGTGGCTGAGATGGAGACTCTGCAGGAGGAGGTGAGCTGAGGCCCAGCGCCCACCTCCACCCCTTCCCCAGTCCTCAGGATCTTCCCGCCCTCCCCGTGCTGCCCCATACACCCCCAGCAGCCCGTGACCAGGCACCCTTCAGTCTAGTGAGGGAGATCACAGAATCCTGCTAATGTGTGAATGTCCCTGAAGGTCACATCACCACATATGAGAACTGCCATGGTTGGTCAGAGTGTGGGGCACAGGGCGGACTGCCTGGGTTCACAGTAAGACTGCCTGTATAAGCATGGGCCAGTCTGTCCCCTCTCTGTGCCTCATTGTCTTCACCTGTGAAAATGGCAGAATAATAGAATATTCCTCGTTGGGTTGTATGAGATTTAACCAAGAAGACGCTTGTCAAGTCTTTGCACAAGGCAGGATGCATGGGAAGTGCTTACTAAAAGTTAGCTAGTGTTGTTCATATATTAGTATTTCTTTATGGTGGAAAGAACACAGGCCTTAAAGTCCGAAGTTCAAATCCCATCTCTGCCACTTACATGACAAACAATCTCTAGTCATGTGACTTCTTCCCAAGCCTTAGTTTTATTCTCAAAGAATGGGGGAGAAGGGTATCTGTTCAACAGAGTTCTTGTGAGAATTAAATGAGAGCTTTTAGCCCAGGGTGTAGCATATAATATGACCAGGCCCCATTCAACCTCATGTCTGATTCAAGTGCCATTCCAAGACAGAAAACATCTTCTTAGTTAATTCTGGATCCGCTTAGTGCTTTTAGGTGGAAACTGAAACTCATCAATTGATGAAACTCGTCACCACCCCCCTACAAGGTGGCATCTAAGTTGCTGGCGACCATGCAGCATCTCAGTGCTCCAGGAGGCGGCGGTCCTCGCTCAACGTCTGTTTTCTCTGCTGGTCACGAGATTGATGTTCCTTGTTCCATCTGGTCCTTGGCCTTAGTCACCACTTCATGCTGGCATCCACTGGGAGGCTGGCGCTGCCTCCTGGTCTCTGGACATACAGTCCTTGCTGCATCTGCTGGTTGTGGCCGTCGCCTGAACCCCGCAACACATGAGCCACTGGGGCTCTCGCTCGGCCACTTCCACACCCTTCTAGGGGCACAGAGGATGTTTAGCTGCTTTCCTGTGACTCTTTGTGGCTGCAGGGGCCTCACTGGGCCCTTTCTGCTGTAACTGCTCACAAGCCATCTCTGTTCTATTTATTTGCACACCTTGCTGGTTGAGACTGAGCTGGGAAACACCTCTCTCAGATTCCCAGACATCCTGGGCGTCCGTGGTTCAACCGCCGCAGTCCTCCCCGCCCTTCGCAGCTCTATTGCTCTCTTCTTTGACTCTCCTACACCCTCATCAGTCCAGGCAATGATGCTGATTCTGCCTGCCCCGCAGTCTCTTTGTCCTACATCTGTATTGTGGCTTTTACATTTAAATCTAAAAATTTTCCACTGTTGTTCTCTGGCTCTTCCGTGAAAATTCTCCTCCTTGGGGCAACAGGAATCTCGCTGCAGGATGGCTGCCACAGTGTGAGGCATGGGGTGCAGACAGGATGTGACTGTTTCTTCCAGAGCATCTCTTTTTAAGAACAGGAAAAAGCTTTTCCAGGAGCACCCCCACTCCACCTCCTACCCCAGCAGACCTCTCTTAGATCTCACTGGCCGGAACTGGATCACATGACACCCCCAGCTGCAAGGGAAGCTGGGAGAATATCTGACCTTCCTCAGCCTGTGGAGTGGGAGACAAACAAGTGAGAGGGCATGAGAATGGCTCCTGGGTTGGCTAACCAGCCGGATCTCCTTTATCTGCTGAGATTTCCATCTTGCTTAACCCTCGGGCTGAGGCTGGGACAGCCTGGCCACGGGGAGAGTGGACCCCCAGCAAACACAGAAGAAGGAATAAGCAGGATGAATGGCAGCCAGAAGTCTCTCCCTCCTCCTGGCCCAAGCCTGCTGCCAGATCAAGTGCCTTGAGCAGCGCCTGGGACATCCTAGGCGCTCGATAAACTGGAGCTATTCTTGGTTCCCTCGCTCCACCTTTCCCCTCCAGGCAGCTGCCTACAGAGCATCTATAGATTGAGTTCTCAAGTTACAGTAGAATAATGCTGGAGTAAGGAACACTCAGACACTCAGCTTTCCTACAGAGAACCTGCGGAGTGGGGCTCAGGTTACTGCAGAAGAGGGCAGGAGCGGCTGAGTAACCAGGTTCCCTGCCGAGTGGCCCAGGATCCAGCCTGCAAATCCCACCAGGTGGACAGATGTTGATACAGCATTCCTGGCCTGTCCTTCCTCCGCCCTTCACCTGGCAGCCCTGGCCCGCTGAGACCGAGAGGGAGGGAACGCAGCTGATGCAGGCCTTGGAGCCAGCAGGGCTGGAGAGAGGGAGGAGCTGGCCTTGGTGTCCCCCGGGGCGCCAGGAGGAGGGGTGTGGCAAAGGGAAGTCAGACTGCCTCCATGCCCCGAGGTGCTTTCCCCCAGTGACCACCTCACATTGAAACTCAGTGCAACTTGCTGGGTTTTTGGTGCCTGGAAACTCTAGACTGGAATTTGGGCCATTTTATTCTTGGGTCCCCTTTCCTGACTGGCATGGCCTGCCGTCTCCCGACCCTCTTGTTTTCCTGGATAACTCTCCTCACCCTGAGGACTTAGCCCCAGAAGTGCCTCCTCAGGAAGCCCGTCATTTGGGCTCCCACAGGGCCCAGGCCCTAGGCCTCATCAGAGTCCGCCCACCTCACACGTTGTCATCATCCGCTTCTGTATCCGTGTCCTCCTCTAGTGATGAGCTCCTTGAGGCAAGGGACAAAGCTGGTTCCCCATTCTCACCCAGGGCCACTTCTGGCTCAGAGGAGTGTCTAGGGGTTATGAGTGCAGGATTTGGAATGGGATTTGGGTTTGAGTCCGCTTACTCACCATGTGACCTTGGCCAAGTTTCTTACCCCTTCACTCCTCAGTTTCCTCTGTGAAATTGGGGATGATGACAGTAAGAACATTAATAGGGGGGACAGCCAGACATTACATTCTTCCTGAATGGCACAGTAGGACGTGTATAGCAGCACCCATGAAATCTTCCTGCCAAAAAACTGAACAAGAGTCTGGACAAGGCCCTGGATCTACCCACCAGTTCACAAGGAATAATGAAGAGGGAGGAACGTCGTGAACGTCCTGCACAGGGAGCGAGAACACGGTAAACCAGACCCAGATGCAGCAATTCTACAGAACAGATAACCCGATTCCTTCCACAAATGAAGGGCCCGAGAACATGCCAGGATTAGGGAGGGGGATCACTGTCAGATGAAAAAAAATGAGACATTTCAACCAAAAGCCATGGTGGGCCTTGTTTGGATCCTCATTCAAACAAACTAAATGTGAAAAGACGTTTGTGAGAGAAGCAGAACGACAAAAGAGCACAAGTTGGGTGTGAGGTGATACTAAGAAATTATTACTTATTTTGTGAAGAGTGATGATAGTATTGTGGTTTTGCTAAAGGAAAAAGTCCACAAGTAGATTAAAATACTTGAGTAGTTACAGATGAAATCATATAATGCCTGGGATTTTCTTTAAAATAATCTGGTTAAACAAAACAAAAAATCTGGAGGATAAAGAAGAAATAAACTGGGAAACTTTATATAATTATTGAAGCTGTGTGATGGGTAATTGGAATTCATCTGCTATTATTTTTACTTATGTGTGTTAAAGAATTCATAATACAAAAGTGTAAACATATTTTTTAATACAACATTTACAGAACGTTGATATAGGCGAGGCACTGTTCTTAATTCTTTGTGCTCATGTATTTGCATGAATTACCACCTGTGTGACCTGGGGCTAGTTGCTCAACCTTTCTTGCCTGAGTTGTCTTTATCTTTTAAATAGGGGATAAGAAATGAGTTAACATGTGCAAGGTGCTTAGTAAATGTTAGCAATTATATTAGCTCAGTTAATCCGCACAGCAACCCTGTGAAGTAGGTCTTGTCTTATCTCCATTTTCACAGATGGGAGACGACTGATGCACAGAGACTTCAAAGCTGAGATCCCATAGGATGGGTGGTTGGAGGGGTTAAATGGGCTAAAACATATAAGTGCTCTGCATGAGGCCTGATGCCCGTCAAGTGTTAGGCAAATGTCAGCTGTGAGTATTAACATCGTCGTTTGCTGAAGTGGACATGACCAGTCATTCCTTCTTCCAGAATGGGAAGCTACTGGCTGAGCGGGATGGAGTAAAAAAGAGGAGTGAGGAGCTGGCCATGGAGAAGGATGCTTTGAAGGTACCACTCCTCCCTAGGGTCTTGACAACTTCCCACCACCCCTGGGGCCATTTTTACCATCTCCAGTTTCAGCCACTCTGGCCTGGTGAGAGTCATCAGGCTCCCAGGGCCGCCTGGCAACTCAGCTGAAATCCCTCCCGCTGTAGCTGATGTCCAGAGACTTCGAGGGAGGTTGAGGAGAGGGGTTTGGGAGAGCAGGGCGTGCCCGGGGAGGGCAGGCCAGCTGAGACGAGTCCTGGGAGGATGGACAGATGAACAGGCTCCTTCCTTGGCAGCGGCAGCTCTATGAGTGTGAACGCCTCATTTGCCAACGAGACGCCGTCCTCTCGGAGGTGAGGGGGCTGTGGGGGAAACATTTGCTTCCATGTGCCCCTGCCCCTCTCCTGCCCCAGTCTGGAAAGGGAAGTCCTGCCTGGCTCTAATCCCTGGATAAGCAGCCCAGAGAGGCCACAAGCATGACCCTGCAGGATCTGGAAACCCAGTGCTCTCCCCCAGGCCCTAGGTCTTCCCACGAGCTCACCCTGCCAGTCCCCATCCCCGCCCACCTCAGTGTCTTTGGGAGGCGGGCCCAGTCTCAGTCGGCTTTGGGCTTTCCCAGCGCACTCGCCATGCGGAGAGTCTGGCCAAAACCTTGGAAGAGTACAGAACGACAACCCAGGTAACCCGGCCGCCCTCGCCCACCCTCAGTGGCCCTCTGCCTGGCCCCACTGTTGCCACTTCTCTTTTGCCATCTCCAGGACTTAGTGCCTCTTTCTGTGTCTGTCGATCTTTTTCCTAGTCTCCTCATCTTGTTTCTTCTGTCTCTACTGTATGACTGTGTGTCTCTCCCTTTGTTTCTGTCTCTCTCTGCCTTTTCACTTTTCCTCTGTTCCTTTCTCTCTCTCACTCTGCGTATCTCCATCTTCTGTCCAGTTTCATTCTCTGTGGTGTCTTCTCACTGTATCTCCCCTCCTTGTCTTTCTGCGTCTCTGCCTCTCTCGGGGTCTCGTTTGTCTGTCTCCCGGGGTGACTCCTCTCTCTGTCCCTGGTCTTTGTGAGTCTCTAACACCCCGTGTGTCTCTTGCCTGGCTGTGAATCTGTTTCTATCCGTGTTTCTCGTTGTTCCGTGTATCTCCATCTCTGCCTTTCTTTTCTTTTTTTTTTTTTTAAAGATTTTATTTATTTTATTTTTTCCCCCCAAAGCCCCAGTGGATAGTTGTATGTCGTAGCTGCACATCCTTCTAGTTGCTGTATGCGGGACTCGGCCTCAGGATGAACGGAGAAGTGGTGCCTCGATGCATACCCGGGATCCGAACCCGGGCCACCAGCATCGCAGCACGCGCACTTAACCACCAAGCCACAGGCCCGGCCCTGCCTTTCTTTTCTTAATTTTCCTGGCTAGTAGATTCTCTTCTGGGTTCCTCTTGCTCTGTGTCTCCCTTTGGCTTCTTAAATTTCTGTTACTGCTTTCTTCCCCTTGTCCCTTGGCAGTATGTGTCTGGAGGAGCCCAAAGAAGTCAGGGGAGTGGAACTGACCTTGGAAGAGGTGGGAGATGGGGAAGAACAGAGAGCCAGGGGTCCCCTACTCCTTCCTTTCCAGGAACTGAGGCTGGAAATCTCACACTTGGAGGAGCAGCTGAGTGAGACCCACAAGGGGCCAGATGAGTGAGTGGAATGTCGGGGCGTGGAGGAGGCAGGAGGGGAGGCCAAGGTAGGGACCCCCAGCCTCCAGCCCCAAGGTGGGCAGGGAAGCCACCCCAGTGTAGGCTGACTGAGAGGTGGTGGGCAGGCACGGAGCAGCCTTCCCCCTCCTCACTGTGTGGCCAGGGTACCCGAAGGGGCTCAGGTGAGAAGAGTGGACTGGACCAGGCTGCTGCCCCCGTCTCTGGGTGTGGAGATCAAGGCCATTCAGCAGGTGGGCCTGGCACCCTCAGAACACCCCAACCCACCACCAGCTGCCACTCCAACCCAGCCCTGACTCTCACCCTACCCCACTTCCCCCCAGGACCTTCTCAATCCTTAGCCTCATCCCTAACCCAGTCCTTGGTCCTGGCACCAAACCCTCCGGGTCCTGCCTCCACCCGCTCCCAGCCCAGCCTCACGCCAGCTCCCTTCCACCTCCCATTCCCACACCTCAGCCCATCTCCATCCCCATCTCTGACCTGTCTCCTGCCTTCATCTGGCCCACCCTGACCTCAGAAACAACTTCTCCCCTCCCAGAATCAAGAAGTGGCAGCTGCCGAGCTCTCCAGCCCTCTGTGTGGAGTGTGGCAGTGGAAGGAGGTCATCAGTGAGACCAGTGAGGAAGCTGAGTTTCCGCCTGAAGCCCCAACTGGGGGACAGGTGAGCACAGGAGGGGCTCTGAGACCGCTGGGCCTGGGACCCATGTGCCTTCACTGTCCCCCTGTCAATAGGCACATGTTGACTGAGGGCCCGCTGGGTGGTGGACAGGGAGCCCAAGCCAGACAGGACGCCATCCCTGCCCTCTGGGGCCTGGCCTGCGAGTGTGGTAGACAAAAGTGGACAAGGCACACACATAAATTATATTGTGGTGGTGGTGGTTGTTATTTAAAAAACACTGTCAGGAATCATGTTATTTAAAATGATGCTACAGAGCCGGCCCCGTGGCTTAGCGGTTAAGTGCGCGCGCTCCACTGCTGGCGGCCCAGGTTCGGATCCCGGGCGCACACCGACACACTGCTTCTCTGGCCATGCTGAGGCCGCGTCCCACATACAGCGACTAGAAGAATGTGCAGCTATGACATACAACTATCTACTGGGGCTTTGGGGAAAAAAATAAATAAAGTTAAAAAAAATTTTTTTTAAATGATGTTACACAGGGAAAGGAGTAAGTGAACTGTTTTTTCTCCTGCCATAAAGATACATTAAGCATTTACCTTTTGTTTTTTGTTTTTTTTAAATACTCTTTTTTTTTTTTTTTAAAGATTTTATTTATTTATTTTTCCTCCAAAGCCCCGGTAGATAGTTGTATGTCGTAGTTGCACATCCATTCTAGTTGCTGTACGTGGGACGCAGCCTCAGCATGGCCGGAGAAGCGGTGCGTCGGTGCTCGCCCGGGATCCGAACCCGGGCCGCCAGCAGCGGAGCGCACGCACTTAACCGCTAAGCCACGGGGCCGGCCCAGCATTTACCTTTTGAATATAAGGCACCTCTAAGAAAAGCTTAGCAAGCCCACTGTGAAATCTTAAACTCAGCAATAGCCATTGTTTAATGACTTCCGTAATTACCTGAACAATGTTTCAACATTGTTTGAAACAACTGACACAACTCCTCTTCAGTGTCCACAACCGAAAAGTGAGATTTTAATCTATTAGTGCTAGAAGAATTCTTTTTTTTTTAAAGAAAATATTGCTAACAGGTCTGTAAACCACACTATATTGTCTTGAAAACTATCCCACTTCAAAGCTGTTGGCCATCCTTGAAGGAGAAACTCATTTCCCTGCTCACATTTTCCCCTGGGTTGTTTCTGGGTTTTTCTTTGACACGAGTGCTCTTGTTTGATTTCTCATTGACCTCTCCCAGTGTCTCTGCGAGGTGGACATCCTCATCTCTCATCCTGTTACTTCTGGGAAACTGAGGCTCAGTGAGAGATCACATGTCCACGGTCACACAGCTTGTGGGGTGCAGAGCCGCATCCTCAGAGGAAGTGTAAATTAGAGTGAGCTTCTGCTGCGAGGTGTCGCACCCTTTTCGAGGGGAAGACTGACCCAGGCCTCAGGGTGTCACCTGTGCTGGGTCCTAGGGATACAGAGAGGAGTCACTCGGGGCTTGGGCCTCTTAGCAGTCAAGGCCTGGTAGGAGAGATCATGCAATGCAGGACCCAAGCAGGATGATCTGTGTGCTAGAAGTGGGGGCGAGCCCTGTGGGAGCCCAGAGAAGAGGTACCTGTGTCAGGGGAGATTGGGGAAGATATGACACGGAAACTGACGGTTGAGTTTATTGTGAAGAAAAAAAGAAAAAGGAGTTAAGTGGTGTGAGGAAAGAGAGGCCTTTCAGGCAGCGGGAACAGTGTGTGCAAGGATGTAGGGGCATGAAACCACATAATATGCTTGGGGGGTAGAGAGCGCTTGGGGGTGACTAGTGAGAGATGAAACCAGAGCCAGATCACGAAAGGAATGCCCTGTCAATCAAGCTGAGAGATTGTACTTTTCTCCATCAAGCCACAGGAGGGCTGTGAGCAGGTCTGGATGTAGAAAGACCCCTCTGGGGCCACATGGGGACTGACTGGAGGCAGGGAGGCCAGGGAGGAGGCTGGGGCAACGATCCAGAGGGAGAGGATGAGGCCTGAGCCAGGCCAGGGCCTTGGGATGGAGAAAAGGGGACGCGCAGAGAGAATTGGGGCAGGGGAGGCGGAGCTGCGGACAGGCAGGCTGCAGGTTGGGGGTGCTGGGAAAGAAGGAGAAGAGGGAAAGAGGCTGAACTTATCTTGTGACCTCATGAGGTGAGCGCCCTGAGGCAGTGGGTGTGTGAGGCTGAAGCTCAGGGATGTCTTTAGAAAACAGTGTTGAGGGGGCCAGCACCGTGGCTTAGCGGTTAAATGCGCACGCTCCGCTACTGGCGGCCCGGGTTCGGATCCCGGGTGCGCACCGACATACCGCTTGTCCGGCTGTGCTGAGGCCGCGTCCCACATACAGTAACTAGAAGGATGTGCAACTATGACGTACAACTATCTACTGGGGCTTTGGGGAGAAAAAGGGGAGAAAAGGAGGAGGATTAGCAATAGATGTTAGCTCAGGGCCGGTCTTCCTCACAAAAAAAAAAAAAAGAAAACGGTATTGAGTTGGTGATTGAGGCCACAGGCAAGGATGAGATGTCTCTGGAGAAAATGGAGAGGGACCTGGGTCCTGAGGGAGGCAGCTGATAGGGCCACCCCAAGACTGGGAACCTGGGAGGAGGAGGGGGTTTGGGAGGGAAACACTGAGCCCCTTTTGGGCCCAGGTGAGTGTGAGAGGCTTGTGGAATGTGAGAGGTTTGGGGGACCTGGACTCCTGGGTCCCGAAGGAGAAAGGGGCTTGGTGGGATCCAGAACAACTGTCCGGTTGGTTTCTGGCCTCTGCTCCTGGGGGGATGATAGAGCCATCCCCGAGGAGGGGTCCCAAGAGGAAGGCAGGTTTTAGAAGCAGGTGGTGAATTCTCGTAGGTGTTGCAGCCCGGGAGACCTACCTTTTCTTTCCCACAGAGAAACTTCCAGGGAGAACCTGTGCACCCTCAAAGAAGAAGGGAGCGATCGATGTGGTAAGAAGCTTGCTCCTCGTGGAACCATCCCTCTGCCTTAGGGTGACGCCTGATTCCCAGACAGATAGACTACAAGGACTGGAAGAGCCCTGAGGGAGTCGCACATCACTCATTCATTCATTCACTCATTCACTCACTGAGGCAACCCTGGGCCTGTGGACCAGGATGAGTCAGACCCATCCCTGACCCAGACGGTTCTGGGAGAACATCTGGCACCTGACCCCACCTTGGGGGAATGCTTCCTGGGGAGGCGATGCCTGAATGGGGTGCTGTAGGAGTGGTATTCATATAGGAGACCCTTAGACAAGACGACACTTATCGGGCAGATAAGACAGCTCAGTCCCTCAGTCACTCTCACTGAACACATGTCTCCCAAGGCCTCCAGGGAACTTGGGATGAGTGAGACCCAGGCTGGGCCCCCGGAGAGCACCCAGGCAGTTGGGAGACCATCAGGGGCTCTGATTTCAGACAGCCTGGGTTCAAATCCCAGCTTGGGTACCTTGTGATAGGCTTGGTGTGAGCATTTGGCAGTAATGCCATGGAGCCCCGGCCCTGTGATTGTTATGCAACTGTTATGAGGCTCATGTACAGGCCTCTGAGGAGAGAGAAAGCACTCCATGACCGGGCCCACCCTCCTCCGGGGCCCTGGCTTGGGCCTCTGGTTTCCTGTGGTTTCCCTCTCCCCCTCCCCTCTTTCAGGCTCCCGGCTGCCGCTGCGGGGACTAATGAGGCTGCCTGCCACGGCCTCTAATTGGACCTGTCTGGGAAAGCTGAGATTGGGCGGGATGGGGGCTCCAGAGCTGTGACCTCCCCCTGCGTCACCAGGGAATGGAGAGGAGACGGGGCTGAGCAGCAACACGGGTGGGGGCTGGGTCCGGAGCTGGACCTCTGAGTTTCCGGTGGGCAAGGCCTGTATGATCCACAGATTGGGAGGCTGGGAGTGAGGGAGGTGGTGACTCCTGTGGCCCCTAGAGATAGCTAGGGGTGAGGGCTTGGACCTTGAGAGGAGCACGCCGCTGTGTGTCTGACTGGGCGGAGGCTGGGGGTCTTTGAGCCTGTATGCCTTACTGAAAGGGAGTTGAGGAAACAGCTGTTTCTTGAAGATGATGGGTCTGAAGCTGGCGGCATCGGCTGGAAGGCTGGATCCTTGGTCCTCAGTGAAGGTGCTGGCTGGTGGTGTGGATGTCTGGGTCTCCAAGGGACGTTGGGGCTGGGCAGCTTGAAGCCTGAGTCCCCGGAGAGGCATTTCAGGGGCTCAGGGAGCTGTGACTTTAGGAGGGGCAGAGGCTGGGGCTTGCACATCTAAGAGAAAGGATTTGGGATGGGGGCGGGGCTCACACAGTTAGAGTCTGGAGGCAAGGAGGTCTGAGCTGCAGTCCCAGTCCTCCACGAAGCCCCAGTAAGACTGAGACTCGCTGAAAATGGCACACCCCACTGGGAAGGAGGAGGGGGGTAGTCTGCTCGTGCTCCGGGCTCTCAGAGAGGGCTGAGTCTCTGGTGTTTGGGGGTGTGAGGGAGCCAGAAGCCTTAGATCTTGGCGGGAGGGTGAGCTGGGAAAGTGGTAGCTGAGAAAGCCAGTGAGGTGAAGCGGCCCCCAGGCCCTTTTAGGGGTCGCAGCCTCCTTTGAGAATTGGGTGAAAATTCCCCTGAAAAATAGAGCCACTGACCTACACACAGCAGTTTGCTCATGGGGCCCCAGGACCCCCGCAGGCCCATCCATGGTGCCCGGCCTGCGTTAAGACCCCTGCTTTGAAGGTTCCGCCCACAGTGGGCGAGTGGGAGCCAGGCAGAGGAGAAGGGTGCTTACAGTGACTTTGCTGTTGCCCCAGGTTGCCCGGAAGAGAGGAAGAGGAGGAAGCGGAGACCCGGGTCACGGTAGGCGGTCCCCAGCCACTCCAGGCCCTCGGAGGAGGCTGATGCAGTCACAGCTCCTCCTCAGCAACCCCTCCTCTCGAGTGGACAGAAAAGTCATTTGGCCAAGAGATAACAAGGCCCTCGCTGTAGCTAATGAGAGCTGACAGTGCTGTGGGGGGAGGCCTGCAGGCCAGTGGGTGGCCAGAATGTTCCCAGGGGACCCTCCAAGCACCCACACAGGGCTGTGGCTGCCACGCTCCAGGCCTCACAGATGTGGCTACACCCCCGGATTGCGAAAATGCACACGCAGACGCGCCCACACACTGCAAGGGGCTGGGCCCTCCCCAGCCAGCCTCAGAACTCCCTCGGGGCACAGCGCCCATCACAGCTCTCCTGTCCGGACCACACACACTGGCTCCTTTGCTCCTCACAGCGGCAGGTGACAATCCTGATTCTCAGGCAAGGAAAAGGAGGGAAGGAAATTTGGTGAGGTGAGGAGCCTGCGGTCCTCAGTTGAGGAATGTGAGAGCCCAAATGTGTGCCAGGCTCTGCCCCAGGCGCCTAGGATCCTTCAGGGTCCAAACCGTCCAAGATGGTTTCTCGGAGCAGCCTGACCCCAAAGCCTGCCTCCCTCCTGCCACACCGTGCTCCCTTCCACAGAGACTGGGGCCCCACTCAGTTTCCTCACGGCTGGCGTGGCGATGGTCGTCACCAGCTGGCAGGGTGGGGGCGAGGATTAAGGATCGCATCACAAAGGGCCTGGCACAGAGCAGGCACGCAGTAGGTGGTGGTGGTGAAGGTTGTGTAGGGACCGGTGTCCTGTGATTCTTTATTTATTGTATTATTGCCATCAACATCATCCATCGAGCAAAGACGTGGATGGGAAAGCCTGAGACTGCAGGGGTCGCGCTTTCAGAGAGGCGTGGGGCGTGAGGTGGCCCCTGGGGGAATATTTGGGGCTTTAATCTTAAAGCGCCTGCTGCTTCTGGCTCAGGCAGGAAGACAGGCCTGAGGAGAGCCCACACTGGACTAGGCCCACGCAGGGCTGGGCTCCAGAAGATGGGGCCTCTGCCCTCAGGGAGCTTGGATACTTCCAGAACCAAATGGAAATAATAATACTGAATAGCTCACACAGTTATTGAGGCCTTTCCTGCTTTTTTGTTTTTACCTGCATTCGCTCCGTCAGTCTCTCCTTCAGCCCTGTGAGAGGGGTGCTGTCATCATCCGTGTCCAGCGGATGGGGAAAGAGGGGCCTGGAGAGGTGGGATGGCATGCTAAGGGACACACAGCTGGAAGCTAGCAGAGCTGGGAACCCAAGCCGGCGTGTGTCTCGGGGAAGCTCCTGCCCTGAACCATTGTGTTCCACCCCCTTCCATGTGGTCACTTCTGTCCAGTGGGCTGAACCGAGGGCCTCTCCCAATCCAGGACTCAGTGACTCAAGTTCGTCTCCTTTGTCCTTCCAGGCTGATCTCCTCCCCATCCCTCTGGGAGACCGTCATCCTGGAGACATCCCAGGAAGCCCTCCTGAGAGGTAACGGGACCCACGGGGCCTGGGAGGGGACTTGGGGGCAGAGGACAAGTCCAGTGCGATTGCCTTTCCCTCCTCTCTCTCCAGCAGCCCTGCCGAGCCAGGACTGCAGCGAGCACTGGTGCCCGTGGTGGAAGGGCTGGTCCCAGTTATGAGGCCAGTCTGGGGCCAGCTCTGCCTGACCCCCTCGCACCCCCAGCAGCTCAGGTGTGCCCCAAGATGTCACCAGAAGGAGGGTGGCGGTCAGACATCAGGCATTGCCCACTGCTGGGACACCACAGGCTCCCCTGGGCCCTGCCCTAAGCACTGTCCCACCTCCCGCCAGGATCGCTCGGCACCCGCGGATCCCGGCCCCTGTCCTGGGCCTGCTGCTGCTGCTGCTGCTCTCCGTCCTGCTGCTCGGCCAGTCCTCGCCCCCCACCTGGCCCCACCTCCAGCTCTACTACCTCCAGCGCCCCCCAGTGTGAGCCATGCTCCCCGCCCCTCAGAGCAACATCTAGTTCAGTGAATTCTCCACGCCTTTTTTTACTGTTATTCCCATTGTTGTGCCACTGTCACTTGGGATTACCCTAGTATGGGGACCCCAGACACAGTACTCCAGGATCCACACCCCTGTATTGGGTTTTTATGTGAAATCTCTTGGTGGTTGAATGTTGGCAACTACATTTCTTAACAATAGCAAAACATGCCCAATAATGAATTAAGCACTAGGGGTTTATTTTCCTCACAAAACAAGTCTGGAGGAGGAGGTGTGCACCCACAGCTCAGGGCCAGGGTGCTGTGATTCTTTGTGACTCTCTTGGCCCTTCCCTCGTGCTCAGGAGATGGTGGGCATTGTAGCTTCATATGTCACATCAGGCAGAAGGGGACCTCTCCCTTCCTTTTTATAAAGAAAAGCAATAGTCCTCCCAGAGCTGGCAGCAGACCTGTGTTTATGTCTCCTTGGCCAGAACTGTTTGGGGTGACCACCCTTAGCTGCAAGGGAGGCTGGGAGACTGAGCACCTCTCCTGGCAGAAAGAGGGAGAGAGATACGGGCCAGGCATGTAGCACGATGTCCACTCCAGTGCAAATGGCCAGCAGGAAATGGACCAGTGTGCCATTTGTTCACTCAACAAACTGACTGATCATCTGTTTGCTTCTAAGCTAGACCTTAGAAGATAGAGCTGTAGAGGAGGAGGCCCTCCAATGCCAGGCTGAGGAGTGTTGATTTTCTCCCGAGGATGATGGGAGCTTCAGGAGGTTTTATTGCTTGTTTTTAGTTAAGTTTTAATTGAGGTGTAACTTACGTACAGATAAATGGACAAATCGTAAGTGTCAGCTGGATGCATTTTTAAATTTGTAAACAGCTATGAAACCGAAACCCAGGTCAAGATAGAGAACAGTTTCCAGCACTGCAGAGGCTTGAGCAAGGGAGGGTCAGAGTCACACCTCTTTAAAGACAGGTAGTGACAGAGGTGGCTGCTGGCTCTGTGGGAGCCCAGAGAAGGCTCCTAACCTGGCCTGGGAGGTTAGAGATTTCTTCCCAGCGAAGTGACCTCTGCATTTAGTCTTGAAGGATGGGTAAGGTGGGTTCCAGGGAGCAGGGGCCAGGGGAGGGTGTCACGGGCAGAGGGAACAAAGTATGTGTGAAGACCAGGAGGTGGGAAGGAGCCTGTGTGTGGAGAGCCAAAGGCAGCACCCTGTTGCCGGGATTTTACAAAGATTTGAAGCCAGGGAAGGATTTGAGGCTACAGTACAGAGTGATAAGAAATAAGAAAGGTGGCAAGAGCCCATGAAGGGTTTTGAACAGCAGCTTGAACGTTACTCCCAGTGCCCGAGAAAGGGCTGTGAGCAGGGAAGGGGCGGAATCACCTCTGGGTGGGAAAGAGATCTGAGCCTGTATAGGGGATGAATATCGGAGTGAGGCTGGAGGCAGGCAGTGGGGGGAAGGCTGGGGCCGTGGTCCCGATGGGAGAGGATGAGGCCTGAGCTGGGCTGGGCACATGGATGGAAGGAAGGGAAGGACGGAGCCGGAGACTGAAAGGCTGTGAAGGCCGATGAAGAGGGAAGGGGCAAGGACAGCCCTTGGGTCTGGCCCACTGACTGGTAGACAGTGGAGCATTTCCCAACATGGGGACCCCATGAGAAGGCGTGGGTTGAGGGGAACACTGAGCTTATGAGGATCGGGTGTCAGGGTTCTAAGAGGTGCCTGGAGCCCTGAGCTTTGAGCTCTCAGTCTGGACGGGGTCTGGGTGGTGTTAGCTGTGGGTGGTGATCAAAGCTGTGGAGATTGCTGAGATTTCCTGGGGAGAGGGGACGAGTTCTGGGAACCATTTTGTGAAAAGCCTCAAATGCTAGGCAAGAGATCCAGGGAGAAAGTAGAGTATGGGAAGCGGCCAGGCCAAGACCCAGCTACCAGGCCTTCCAGAAGGCAGAGGATGAGGCTCCTCACAGGGCTGTTGTGAGATTGAAAGAGCCAGTACAGGTGCAATATTTAGAAGAGTGCCCGGCATATAGTAACTGCTCCTAACATTTTAATCCCACTTCTCCATGAGGGTAGTGGAAAGGTCTAGACTTTTTGAAGTTGCACAGATTTGGGTTCCACTTGTCCTTCTGTCCTTTACTAGCACTGACAACTTGGGGAAATTACTCCTGACTTGCAGAGTCGTTTCTTTATTTGTAAAATTTGGCCAACTCTGGATGGTTTTGAGGAATACAGTTATTCCTTCCTTATTCCGTTTTTCTGAATAAAGACAAACAGGCCCACCCCCACAGCCTAAGGGCCAATTAGGGCGCAGTCCGCCTTCAGGAAATGCAAATTGTGGGAGAGCTTGCCAATCAGCAAGCACCGGGCCCGACCCCTTCCCGCGCGCCTAAGCGCCCAGCTACACCCTCGTCTCTAGACCAATCAGGGCGCGGTCCGCACGAGCTGCGTTCGGAATGCGCGGTTCAGATACCTCCGCTGCTGCTGGGAGTGGGTTGCCATGGTCACCGTTGTTGGGCCGGCTTGAAGAGCGGGCGGGCCTCTAGGGAGAGAGGCAGATTCTGATTGGCTGCTTCCTCGCTTCACCGGCGGCCCAGGTGTCTCCCCACCTCCGCCCCCGCCCTCCCGGATCCTGACGCCTGCTCCCCTATCTTCTCTTCTCTCACCCCAACCTGGATCCCGGCTGATCTCCCGGGAAGGGCTCAGTCAGAAAACCCTGAAGAAACTGCTGGAGGCTGCTGCGAGAGAGCAGAAACTCTTTTCTAATAAAAGCGTTTTGCTACGTGCGGGGTGCTGTGCTGAAGTCTTCTCATGGTGTATCTGGTTTAATCCTCATTACAGATGAGGAAAAGGAGGCTCAGAGGTTAGGAAGCCCTCCCGAATACTGCACAGCTGGGTTTGGGGGAACCTGGTCTTGAACGGCAGGTGCATGTCACACCAGAGCCCCGGATCTTTCCACTGCACCCAGAGAGAAGTCGGGAAGTGACCAGAGAGCATAAAATGAGAGCTGGAAAAAAGTAAGACAAACGGAGACCCAAACGAAGAAAGAAAAGGAAGACACGAAGGAGTGAGAGAAAAAAGAGTGATGAAGAATGGAAGGAAGCGTTTTAGAGGCAGAAAGAAGAATAGAGAGAGGAGGCGGAGATCCCCAGAGGGCCAGGAAGCCAGGAGGAGGAAAAGAGAGAGAAGCACAGGGACTCAGAAGGGGAACAGACACCCACAGAGGGAGAGACCCAGACAAGGGGACAGAGACGTGGGACGTTACAGAGAACCAGAGAGAAGGACAGAGACCAGGGATGGGGAGGGCCAGAGGCACAGAGTGAGAGGAGGGGACAGAGCAGAGATCCAGAGAAAGAGAGAGAAAAAGAGAATATGAGTGGAGGGAAAAATGATTTTTTAAAAAAGTGAGAAGGGACTGAGAGGCGAGATCCCAGAGTACCGACGCAGGCCGCGCCCCCGTACCTACACACACACGCGCGCACACACACACACGCACACGTGGCGCAAAAAGGAGGCGCAGTCCGGAGCGCGCACAGGGTCTTTATTCAGGGGAGGCGGGCGGGGCGCTCAGGGCGCGTCCAGCACCAGCAGCTTGTGCATGTACCAGTTCAGCCAGTGGCGGCGCTCGAGGGCGGCCAGCAGCCGCGCGCGCTCCCGGAAAGCCGCATCGTCCGCCAGCGCCAGGCTCCGCCGCGTCGTCCTCAGCGCCGCGGGGGTGGCCGGACCCGCCCAGTCCCGGCCGGGGGTGCGGAGGCTGCGGGGAGAGCCAGAGACGCGGTTACCGCGCGTCCAGGGCCCCCGCCCGACGCCGCCCGTCCTCCCCGCCGTCTAAACTCGAAGCCCTGTTACTGCACCGTCTGTGGAGTGGCTCTGTCTCTGTCCCCCTGTCTCCCTCTTTCTCCGCGTGGGGCTCTGTGCCTCTGTTCACCAGGTTCGGAGCTCCCTGAGTACGGAGACCGAGTGTGATGCCCCTGTTCGCCCCCAGCGCTCAGCGCACGGCCTGGCACACACCAAGAACCCAATAAACGTTGCTCAAGGAACGAATCCGTTTCTCCTTCGACTCCTTTCAAGTCTCTCGACGGCTTTCTCGGAATCTTTTTGAATCTCTTTCCTTGCCGATTTCCTGTCCACCCTCTCCCCACCCCTAGTCTCTATCCTCCTCTCTCTGGGTCTCTGTCCCCCTTTCTGAGTCTCTGTTCCCCTTTCTCTTTGGGTATCTTCCCACCTCTCTAAATCCCCACCCCTCCCTGGGAGTCCTGGGCGTCGCACGTACCTGAAGACCCCCGCGGGGGGCAGGGCGACTCCTGAGGCGCTGCGGACGCCCCAGGGCACGAGCAGCAGGAGGAGCACCAGCAGCCGCGCCCGGAAGCTCCTGGGCACCTGGCGGGTCTCCATCACCTGTGGGGAGACAGGGAAGAGCTCAGTGAGGCCCGCGTCCTGGCCCAGGACCCCGGGCCCCACCACCCACCCACCCCTGGCAACCCGCTTGCAGAGCCCCCTACCGCGCAGTGGGCTCGGGCAGCGAGACTGGCAGCCCCCTTATATCGCCTCCACAGCCCCCGCAGCGGGCGGTGACGCAGACCAGGGGGCCGGGGCGCGGGGTCAGCTCCCCCCCGGGCTCATTAGGAGCCGCCAGCGGTAATGAGGAGCCGGGGGTGGGGGCCCCGCCGCTGCCGTGGCGGCCACCAACTAATTGGGACCAGGAGCTGGGACTTGAGGAGAAGCGGGAGGAGGAGAGACAGACAGACAGAGAAGTGGACACAGGGGGTGTGTCAGAAAGATAAAAATAGAGACCAGAGGAGGGACCATCAGAGCAGAACCCAGAGCGAGAAAGAGACAGGGAAAGGAACAGAGCAGGGAGTGATGGGGAGAAGCAGAGACACAAAGAGAAGTGACCTCGAGAGGGAAGGACAAAGACAGTGATAGAGGAGAGGAAAGAGGAAGAAAGAAAGGAGAAGGAAGGAAGAGCGAAAGAGAAGGAAATCAACAAAAAGAGCCAGCTAGAGACAAGGGATGAGGGAGGGAAAAGGTTCTGAGAAAGACAGAAGGGAGCAGAAGTACACCTGGACAGAGACTCCCAGAGATAAATCCGGAAAGAGAGAGAACCAAAAAAACAAGAGAGAGAGATAGGGAGGGGGAAAGGCAAGAGAAGGCAAAGGGTATCGTGGTGGGGGGAGTGAAGACAGGTAAAGCGACAGGTAAAATCAGAAAAGTCTTAGAGAGACTGCGAAGACGCCCAGCTACCCTGTGGAGGTGTCTAAGCCTCCCCGGGGAGGAATTTGGGGGTGTTGTGAGGATAAAGCCCAATTCCCCCCCACACGCTGATCCTTACAACAGCGGGGAGGTAGGCGAAGGTTGGGAAGCCCCAAAGGGCGGTAGCCATCTGGGTCTCTGATCGGCAAGACATGGGAAGCTGGACTCCTAGTTCCTCAGAGAGGAGGGGAGCAGGGCCTGGGCTCCTGGGTCTTAGAGTGGAGGAGACAGGGACCAGACTCCTGGGTTCTGGGGTAGGTGGAGCCTGAGGATTTGGACTCCTGGATCTGAAGGGAGGGAGCTAAGGGCCCCTACTCCTGGGTCTTGAAGTAGGAGGGTACCAGGGACCTGGACTCTTGGGTTTGGGGGTAGGAGAGGGCGGAGGGCCCAGAGCCCTGGTTTCAAAATGAAGGTAGCTTGGCTGGGCCGCATCCCTCCACCAGGCAATCCAGTCCCTAACTCTCTTCCCCACTCCAGAGTCAAGGTCCTTTATCTCTGTCCCTTTAAGAGCCCAAGCCTGTCGCTAGGCTCCCAGGATCCCCAGGGAGAGGGTCAGGTGCACCACCTGAGCCCTTGGGACCCTACCTCCTGCCACCCTGCCCAGAGCCATTCTGCAGCATTCACTGATCTCCGCATCCAGTTCTGCTCACCTGCTGTTATCTTGGACCCCACTGAGCAGGTAAGAGACCCCAGAGCCCCACATGACCCTGTCTCATCCAGGTGTCTGCCGCCCCCACATTCACCTGACCACAGACCTAGGCATCTCTGCCACAGACCAGCCCCTGAGACCCTGGGATCCCAGCTCCATCCTCAATAGACAGAGAGGCATGAGTCCTGCCGGACAGCTCTCCCCTCTGAGGAGCCCAGACCCCTATCTCTGGAAGACCGGAGACTCAAGAGTTCCCAATCCCCTTCTAACTCAGGACCCAAGTGTTCAAGGCTCCCATCTCTTTTTGTCCCTGTAATCCAGCACCCCCCACCCAGCTTTGCTCCCTCAAAATTCTAGGCATCTGAACCTCCAGACCTCTCCTGTCTAAAGAACCAGGAATTTAGACCCACAGTGCCCTCCACTCTCGGGAACCCAGGAGTCTTGGCCATCAGCCCCCAGCTGTTCCTTCTGAACCTCCCCTAGTGTAAACAACTGTTGAGTCAAGGTGTCCCTGGAACCCTCAGAGAGGAAGGGGTCCCGTGTCCCCTCGGAGGTCTACACCCTCCTAAATCGAAGTCGAGGAGGTCTGGGGGCTTGGAGAGGTGTCATTCTTTCCCAGTTTTTCTGGGACCCCTCAGGGAAACAGATAAGGAAATTAACTACGACTCCCAAGAAGCCCCGCGCTTCCGTCTCCCTTAGCTACAGCGGCTACCGCCCCACAGCCTTCAGGGAGTTAGAGTTGGGTTCTCCTCCTTTCCCAGGAGCCCAACTGGGCGGGGGATGTGGTCCACCTGGGGACCAGTGGGCGTGGCTTCGGGAGTAGATAAGACCTCCCCAGGGGCTTCCGGCCTTAACCCCCCTCCTTCCCGCTCGCCCGCAGCTATAGGCGTCTCTCAGAGCTATGAAATCCTTCAGCCCGATCCTCTTCGTCCTCGTCTTCCTCCTCGCCTGGCTGAGTTCCAAGGCCGCCCCTTCGGCCTCACCGTCTGTGGGGTCCAACTTTACGGGGATGGGCCACCCCTCCGAGATTTCCCCTCACGCTTCTGAAAATTCCACTCGCGACTGGCCTAACCCAGAATCGCCTGAGACTGCTTATCCTGAGCCCTCCAAGACACCTCATGCAGTTTCCCCAGAGCCTTCCCCCCTTGACTTCACTGAGACCCCTAACCCTGACCTCCAAGAAGCACCACACCCAGGGTCTCCGGAGACCCCCAAACCTAATTCACTCAACATCTCAATATCAGAATCCCTGGAGACCCCAAAAATTAACCCTTCCAATAAAACAGATCCAGAACCTTCTGAGACCCCCAAACCTGACCCGACTGAAATTCCACACACAGAATCCCCTGAGACCCCCAAGCCTAATCCCTCCATAACTTCACACCCAGCATTTCCTGAGACCTCGAATGCTGAACTTACCCAAACTCCACCCCAAGACTCCCCAAAGATTCTCAAACTTAACTCCACTGAAATCTCACATGCAGAAGCCCCTGAGACCCCAAATCCTGGCCCTACCAAGACTCTTGACCCTAAATCTCCAGAAACTCATGACGCTGACACCACTGAGACCCCAAACTCTGAATTCCTCCAGACCCTCCATCCTGATCCTACCAAAACCCCTCACCCGGAAGCCCACATAACCCATAACCCCAGCCCCACTGAAATTCCCCAAATAGAATTCCCCACAACCCCCTACCAAAGTGCATCAGAGGTCACTATGACCTCTGACCCTGGGATCTCCATTAGTCTTCACCCAGAAACGCCTGCACCCTTCAGGGAGGAAGCTACCGCCCTAAATGAACTGCCCCTAAATCCCAAACTAGAAACTCTTGCAGCCACCCAGCCCGACTCCCTTGAATTACCCACCTCAGATTCTCCTGAGACTGTTGAGCTGAAGGCCCCCCAGAACTTTAGCTCTAAAGGGCCCAATGCCCCTCCTCCCTCAACCCGGATTGCAGGCCCCCCTGCTCCTCCAGGGCCCCCCAATCAGCCGGCCCCTGACACTCCGCGGGCCCCCCAGCGGCGCAGCCGAGGTGAGAGAGTCAACACTATCATCGTGGTGGAACGAGTGCAGGAGACCGGTGAGGGGCTACGATCCGGACTCCCGGGTCTGAGGGAGGAAGGGCCTGGGAGCCAGAACTCCTGGGTCGGAAGGAAGAGGGGCTGGGGGCCTGGCTCCAGAGTGTGAGCGGGGAGGAGGCTGGGGGCTCAGACTCCCGGGTCTGATGGCTGGTGCTGTTGGGTCTGAGGGAGGAGGGACTGGGGGCTGGACTCCTGGGTCTGAGGGAGGAGGGGCTGGGGGCTGGACTCCTGGGTCTGAGGGAGGAGGGGCTGGGGGCTGGACTCCTGGGTCTGAGGGAGGAGGGGCTGGGGGCTGGACTCCTAGATCTGAGGGAGCAGGGGGCTGGAAGTTAGATTGCTCATTCCCTGTCTCCCTCCTGCAGGCGTGACCCTGGTGGGGCGTCCCAGGGGCCCGGCGGGCGGGGCCCTGTGCCTATTTCTCGGCGGGACCGGGCTACTGATCGGCATTTTCCTGTTGCTGTGGTGTCTCTACCGCCAGGCGGCTCGACACCGGCCCTTCGCACACCACCGGCTTCCGAACGACGGAGATGAACCGAGTGAGCGACCCTTCCACCGTCCCGCCCTCGAATACCCGCACGTTTCCTTAACCTGGGTTCGCCTGGCATTTCAGGGCGCCCCGCCAAAAAGTACAGGTCTCCCACCCAGGCTTAAAGAAGTCCTGACCCCTCTACGGTCAAGTCCTGCCCCCCAGTTCTCTGAAATTTCGCACACACACGTCCAGTCCCGTCCCCAACCCAGCGGGGACTTGCGACAGGATCCGGGCCACGGGTTCCTACAAGCCCCGCCCCATCCCCCTCTCGGAGCGCGGCTGGAGCCCTGTAGCCCCGCCCCTCCACTGCAGGCCCCGCCCCCTCTACTGCAGGCTCCACCCCTGCTGCGCAGAAGCCACGCCCCCTCGCCTATTCTGGGGCCCTCGCCCTTTAATTGAAAACCCAGCTACAAGGGGTGGTCGAAATTCTCTCCCCGCCTCCCCATTGGCCAGCGGCTCAGCAGAGGGGACAGGCCCCCTGTCAGCCTGGGGATGACCTCGCTCCTTTGCTCCCACAGTCATGCATTTGGACGCCCCGAAGGACCCCTATGACCTCTACTTTTATGCGCCGGACGCCTGGGTCCCTTCACACATCGCCACCAAGCAGCCGCCGCCCACGCCCCCGCTGCCGCCCAAGCTGCCCCCGCCGCCCCGCGGGGGCCGCCCCCAGCGCCTGGAGCCGCTCTCCCCCGCCACGCTCCCCGACAACTTCGTGTGAGCCCCTCTCGGTCCCGCCAGACCTGCGCCATCCCCAGGCAGAGGAAGCACCCACGGCTCCTGTCCTGCTGGCATGCTTTGCTACATAGTGGTCCTCTCGATAGAGGGTCCAACACAGAGATGCTTTGCTGTGACCGGGGAACACCGGCTGAGGACGAATAAATCACGTGTTCCCCCAGCTAGACACCACCTCTGGCCTGAGTCCTGGGGGAGGAGGGGCTGGGGTCCTAGGATAGTGGGTGTGAGGGAGGAGGGGCGCGGGTGCTGGGACTCCTGTGATTCCCACTGCCGATGACGACTGCGTACACCAAAGCATTTTATTGGGAATGGGGCAGGGCAGGATTTACAGTCACAGAGACAGAGACACAAAGACACAACCCTGCCCCGCAAAAACACCCCTCTCCCCCAGCCCCATTCCCTTTCCTGGGATTCTGTGACTTCTCCTATGTATGTTCCCCAAATTCTAAGCCAAAATAGGGGAGTCTGAGAGGGGAAGGATCCCAGATTCTGAGTCATTTAACCCCTGAGGGACACCACAAATGGCCACTGAGAAAATGAGGGTAGTTTGAAACCACCCAGGAGAATAAAGTGCAAGGAATTGAGGGGAAGAGGGGCATCTTGAAACCACCATGGGGAAGTTCAATGGTGGTGGCTTCAAACCGTTGAGTTGGTGGACTTGAGTAGCCACTATTTAGACCTGAAAATCGTGTCAGAAAAAGTGCATGGGGGTGGAGAGGCGTACCGTTAAAACCGCCGTTTTGGTTATTTCCCTAGACATTGTGCTAAACTAAAGAGAAGGTTTTGGGGGATTTGGTGCTTCAGCAGAATCTGCTGGTGGAGAGAGGGCTGAAGAGCTGGGGGGGGTGCTAGAAACCGCCATTTTCCTTCAGAAACGCTGGTGAGAATCAATCCCTAGAATGGCGGGGATGGGTGATTGGGTAAACCAACCTGAAAAATGCAGAATAGAGTTGAGAGAGATTTGAAACTTCTAGAGGAAGACCTTGAATTTTTCTGAAAGGAGAGGGGGGCTGAGTAATCTCAGGGGTCAGCCCGAGAGTCTGTGGGATTAAAGGAAAGGGAGGAGGTGCCCCAAAACCACAAGAGAAAGTGAGAGATTGGAACTGTCCGCTCAAATAAAGCCCTGAAAGGAGAGATTTGAAACCACTGAGGCAGAACAAGTGGAGAAAGGAAACTTTAGGGGAATTTGGGTATCCTTGAAACTGCCAGTCTGCAGCTTCACTACCCCTGAGAGGCAGTTGGGAAGGGAAGAGGACTTGACAGCACTGGGAACGAGGGAGAGTGCTTCTCAGGCCTGAGGCAGGACAGAGAGGACTGGGGTTCCTTGACTGTCACTCAAGCCAGAGGTGTGCGGAATGGAGGTGCTGGAAACTGCCATCCAGTGGGAGGCACATGGTCAGTAGTCCCGGACAGGGGGTGGGGGTCTTGGGGGCTGAATTGTGCTGTGTGTGGCCCCATAGGAGGGAGGGGGCGCAGGCGGCGCCCCGGGGGGCTCAGCCTCATCCTCCATTTCGCTTTCTTCGCTGCCAGCCAGCTGGTCATGGCCAACGAAGCCACACTTCTCTTCACTCATCTCCTCAGGCTCCGCCCACGGCTGCTTCTCTCCGGAAGCAAAGACCCCATAGAAGATGACACCCCCATAGTGCACCAGGGAGGCAATGAGGAACACATACTGCCACTCCTCCCGAGTCTGTGGGGGGACAATGGGGAGGCGAGGTCAGAGGACTGAGAAACAGGAGGTGGAGAGAGAACCTGAGAGGGGGTTGGGGAGGCCCAGAGAAAGGGAGACAGAGATCCAGAGAAAGGCTGAAAGTGACCCAGAGAGGCAGGGATGGAGCCCAGGGAGGGTGACACAAATTGGGAGCGCGAGTGGGTCAGGGCGGGTGCACGGACCTTGTGCTTTGTCATGGCGCCTACGATGATGGGGCACACCATGCCCGACAACGTGCCCACGCCGTTGGAGATGCCCATGAGGATGCTGGCGTAGCGCGGGGCGATGTCCAGGTGGTTCACGTTGAACCCTGGCGGGGCGAGCCAGGAGGCGTCACACCGGAGTCCTCCCGGCTCCTCCCGGCTGCCCTTTCTAGTCCACCTTTTGCGAGGCTGGGAGGTCCCCTTCCTGTGCCAGGAAGCTCCCCACACAGCTGACCAAGATCCCCCAAGCTGCGGCTCTGCGGTTCTCACCAGAGATGGCGAAGCCGCTGAAGCCCACGGCGAGGACCAGGAAGGAGATGGCCACTCCCTTGGAGTGCGAGTAGCCGACCACCAGCAGCAGCGTGGCTTCCATGCCGAAGCCTGTGGAGGGCCCCCTCCTCTGAGCGCCGGCCGAGGCGGAGCGCAGGCAGCCCCACACCGCCTCTCCAGACCTGTTCCCACCCCGGCCTGCCTCCATCCGCCCCGGTCTGGCCACCTCCACTCCTGGCCAATGCCTCGTCCCCCATTCCGCATGCGCCCGCCCTAACCAAGCCCTTACCTCCCCAACGCCTGGCCCTCGACCACGCGCACAGGCTCCACCGCCCCAGCTGAGCCTTCCATGGCCACACTCTGAAGACGCAGGGTCCAAGCCCCATCTGTGCACCCTCTGTCCTCACTCATTAGGCAGCAAGCCGCCCAGACCTTGTTTCTCCAGGACCCCACTCATAGCCCCTCTTCAGCACCTAGTTCCCGTCCTACTCCGCCTGGTCCCATGTAGGCCCCGCCCTTCCAGACCCGACTGGGTCCCGCCTCTGCGCCACATGGACAGTCACCCCCGCCTTGCCCTTCCACGCCGTGACCCCTGAGGCTGCCGCCTGAGATTCCGTTCCATCCAGGCCGGGCCTCCCCCCGGCTCCGCCTCTTTTGGACACGACCCCTCACTCCGCCCCCATCCTCCCACGGTCCGGGCCCGCGGATCCGCCCCACCGCGCTCTGCCCCGCCCAGGCCGTCCCAGACCAGGCCCAGGCCCCGCCCCACTCACCCCCACAGTTCATCAACTTGCGCACGTTCGTGGTGGACATGATGCGGCGGCTCCTCAGGAAGTCCGCGATCTGGCCGCCGATGGGCACGATAATGGTCATGACCAGGTGGGGCAACGCTGACACCAGGCCCACCTGCGCCAGCGGGCGTACAGGGCGGGGGCTGAGGGGCCGCCGGCCGGGAGTCTCCACGCGGTTCGTGCACCACTGGCTCCTCCCCGTCCCTCGTTCCAACCCCTTGGGATCCAGGCCCCTCTCCTTCCCCCTCACCCCCGCCGCGCCCCCTGCCCTCCCCTCCTGGGCCCCACCTTGCTGATCTCGAAGCCGAACACTTCTTCGAAGTAGGCGGGCTGGGAGATGAGGAGCAGGTAGAATGTCCAACTGCGGCAGAAGTTGGCCACGATGATGGCGTAGACTGGCATGGACGTGAAGAAGCGCCGCCAGGGTGTGTTAAACTTCTGCGGGGGGCGAGAGGAGGCGCCGCTGCGACAGAGACCAGGGCTGGGCGCTCTCCGTGTCCCCTCAGGGACCCCACTGTCCCGACCCAGGTTTCTCGACCTCACTAAAACCTCCAGGGACCCAGGGGCGCCGGCTCGACCACGTCTCTGTTGGGACCCTGGCACCCCAGGCTCATGGTTACACTTCAGGGATGCAAAAGTCCCGACTCTATAGTGCTCCCTCAGGTTCGCCCGTGTCCGGACGCCACGATGACCCTCAGGGACCCAGGAGTCTCCTTCCACTCAATTACGTCCCCTAGTTCTCGCCTCACCCACCCCAAGGTCTAAGCAAAACCCCCACATTCTAATCCCGCCTCTGCTGGTTTAACCACGCCCATCAATGGTTCTGGATCCGCCCACCTCGAGACCTAGCCCTGCCCTCTGTGCTTGCCGATCCTGTGCGCTCCTCTGCACGCTTTAACCCCGCCTCCTATGTTCTGGCCACGCCCCCTTTGCGTTCCCACCCTGTCTCCTCGAAGAGCCTCCCCGAACGCACCACGATCTACACACTGTGCCGGTTCGAAGCACCCTTTTCTCCTGCCTCCCCGCCTAGATATCTCTCCTCGCCCCACCGCGCCCCGCCGCGCAGGCTTGGGCCCAGACCGTGAGCGGGTTCATGAGCTTGGCGCTCTCGCCGATGGCGTCCTCGATGTACTTGCGCTCCTCCTCCGAAATGCTGGGGTGCAGCGCCGGGGACTCATAGGAGACGAGCAGCCAGAACAGGTACCAGAAGATCCCGAAGCTGCCTGGGGGGGTCAGGAGGGGGATGGAAGCGAGGTGACCACCGGCCTCGCTCCTCCCCAGCGCCACCCGCACCCAGGCGTCCGGGCCCCTCACCGTAGACGTAGAAGACAGAGCTCCAGCCCGAGTACTGCACCAGGACCCCGGCGAGAGGCATCGCGACCACCGCCCCAGCATAGGAACCTAAGGGAGAGGATGCGGGATGGAGAACGGGCCCATCCTCCCTCAGATCCAGGAGTGCGGACCCCCAGCCCCCGCAGTTCTGGGACACAAGAACAGGCCACAGCCCCTCCTCCCTCAGACCCTGGAATCCAGGCCCTCAGCCCCCTCCTGCCTCAGACCCGCAAGTCTGGATCCCCAGTCCCTTCCTCACCGCAAAAGGCTGTAGTCGCCAGGCGACTCCGCTCTAAGGGCGGGGCCCATTTGCTCCAGATCCCGTGGCAGGCGGGGTACGTGACCCCCTAGGGCGGAGAAAACCAAAGTCAAGAAGAAGGGGCGGGGTCAGAACGGGGCGGGGTCATAAGGGGGCGAGGCTTTACCTCTACCAACCCCTGCAGGATCCTCACGAAGATGACACAGCCATAGTGGACGCGGGCAGCCGAGGGGATCAGCATGTTTAGAGTGGAGGTAGCCACAATAGCAAAGCCGAAAACCCTGATGGGAAGAGTCCGCGATCGCAGAAAAGGGTCCAGCTATCCCTCCATGCCTAGGATTCCGCTCTTTCCGCCCACAACAGGCCAGGCCTTGCGTTCCCCGGAACCCCGGGCCCCACCTTGTCTGTGACTCCTACCGGCCACAATCACAAGCCCCGCCTTTCTCTAAGACCCCGCCCCCGAACCCAGGCTCCTCCCACTTTCCCAGAGGAAGCCCCAAACGCAAGGCCACACCTTCCAACCCCGCTAGCCCAATTGCAGTTCCCGCCCACCTTGAGACCCCACCCCTGTACCTGTTGGCTGCAA